TATATAATATAGAGGGAGACATTGCTTCACGCTGTCGCTTCCCCTTCACGTTGTTCCTCACTTGTTTAATGACATTTTGTAAACTACCCATTTCATTTGTGTCCAAGTAAATATTTTATTTGGACTAGCACTGGTAATGTCTGTTTATGGTGTGTTTTTTTTTCCTCCGTCCAGGGAAAAACAAGTATAGTAATGGCCAAAACATTAAACTTTAACTATTCGTATATGGGTTTTATAATTCTGAAATATTGTTTTGGCTCCCTCTTTCTAGATACAGTACAAGCTTTTTAAGTTGTTTTCTCTCGAAATGCTTAATATTCTGGTAGTCTCCCCTCAATATATGAGTTATGAGACTAAATGATTATAAGAGTGAGACAGTCTCAGACGAGTGCTGCAATACACCGTGATTCTACTTTTACTATAAAATACAAGTAAGAAATATAAATCACTTGCCTCATTTTCATCAAGTTGGTCTCATATTATTTTAGTTATTAGTGTTCTGGGATATCCAGTGGATAATGAATATCGTGATTATTATTTTATATAAATTATTCTTCCAGAGAATAAATGACCATGACTTATTTTTGAGAATGGGCTTTTTGTGGGCGTTTATTCGAAGGAGGCGTTTATTGTTTAGTTTGTTTGGTCTAAATTTGATAGGTAACTCAAGTGAACGCCCCTTAATTTCAATGTAAATGTGCAACTACAACATAATAACCGTCAAAATGTGTTATGGCGTGATTATAAGACATATTGATCATATTGATCCCTACCAGGTTAAAAACAATTTAACAGGAGTAGGAAGGCGTTTATTCCAAATGAGTTTTTAGAAAGGGCGTTTATAATTCAAGGTGGCGGGGCGATTCAAAGTGGAGCGTTTATTCGATTATATACTGCAGTAAGTTATATATATTAAATATTTTGTTTATATGGACACATGTTTCCTTTAAAAAGCTTTTGTTCTTTTGTGTCCAATTCACCACCTTCATTCTCCATAACGATGAGATAGATTTAGGTAATATAATTCATAATTCATAATTTTATTTTCCTCACACGAGATGGTAGCTAACAAAGAGAAATCTTCCCTGTACATGTGTCAGCTACCATAGCATTCACTGTTTAACAAGATGCAAAAACATTGTAGAAAAGAGAAAAGCATAATAATAATAATAACAACAATAATAATAATATCATAATAAAAATAAATAATAATAATAATAAATAATAATAATAATAATAATAATATGCATAATAGGCCTAATAATAATAATAATAATAGTGATAATAATAACATTTTATTCATTTTTGAGTTTCTTATTATATGTCTCAAATTCTTAAACTCTAGGTCCACAACTAGGCTACCCACCCTTAAAAAATATTTTTTTTCATAACATTGGTTAAAATAATAAATTAATAATTAATTGAAAAGTAACAGTAATAGTTAAAATAATAGATTTTAGCTTTAATGTGATTTTGAAGTAACAAAAGATAATAACATTGTATGTTCCGTTTAATAATGTTATAAGAATCAACGCATACATCCTCCGTGTGATTGATTCTTGATTAAAAATACATTGTGACATAAATGCAAAACTCAACAGTCTAGGCAAATTCGTTTAATTCTGTTATATTATTCTGTCAGTTAAACACAAAAATAAATCAAATGAATAGTTAAAAGGACAGAATAGGCCTCTAATATTGCCTCTAAAACCGTTGGCTGGTAAATTTATCAATTAAAAATAAGGAAACGTTTTTCGCTTTTTAATTATAATTTTGTTTATATAGAATAAAACAATAAATAATGAAAACATAAAAATTATAGAAATAAATTAAAAACAAGTTTCAAAAAACCCCTACAATACGTAAAATCCACTCTCAATTCTTGTGGTAAATGCAGCCTAACCCCTTAAAATATAAACAACTTCGCATATCCGGTACGGTACTAGAGGAACTTGTCAAGTAGAAATTGCTTTCACTTTACTCATTTTAGTTTCTCTTAGACACTCATTATTTAGTTTTTACGTGAAAGATGGGTCCGCTGCGTTATATTTACGCATAAATCGGGGTCTCAAAGTTTCTTTTAATTTTTAAAACGGTCCTCATTATTCAATTTATACGTATATATTTTCAATGCACACAGACGTTGGACAACAGTAATTTTCCATTTTCCACAAGTTATGTTACATGATTTATGGCATCTGTTTCGTTTAGAAGTGATATGAAACACACAATATATTACTTTAGGCAAATTCTTTTACTTTTGTTTATATTATTCTGTCAGTTAAACATAAAAATAAATGAAATGAATAGTTAAAAGAACAGAATTATAATTTTGTTTATATAGAATAAAAACAAATAAATAATGAAAACATAAAAAGAATAGAAATAAATTAAAAACAAGTTTGAAAAAACACCTACAATACGTAAAATCCACTCTCAAATATTGTGCTAATGCACCCTAACCCCTTGAAATGTAAACAACTTCGCATATTCTGGTACTAGAGGAACTTGTCAAGTAGAAATCGCTTTCCCTTAGACACTCATTTTACTCTCTCCAAGTTCCTAGAAGCTCCGACGTTTTACCTTTACACGAGCCGTATTTGTTTGAATATTCAATATTAGGTTCTGATTAACGTTTACATTTTTTTTTTAAAATAAATACAAATAACACATAATTGACATGAACAAAATATAGGTAATCAATCGCCTCTAAAATCTTTGGCTTTTTAATTTTTCTATTAAAACTTGAATGGGAAACTTTTTTTTTAAATTAATTATAATTTTTAAGACTAGGCCTATTACTGAACCGGGCCTTTAAATATTTTGTAGTATTTACTTGGACAAGACACTTCTGTTTGCCTTTCTTCATCTGGGAGTATCTGGTGGGAGACGAATGACATTGGAAGTGTTACACTTGCAACAATGCAAAAGACGAAAGCAAAAAAAAAAACAAAAAAAAAACGCGTGCTGGGTCGCAGTTAAGTATGGGTTCTGGAGGTTTTACAGTATAACCAACCCCGAACTGTAACCATCGCACCACGCCACCCATTGGATAACGGGCCTGGAAGACGTTGCATAGGCCTACTTGCCAATTTATACAGTGCTGTATCATACGCTTATTTTGATTAACCATACATTGTCACATATACAAAACTCAACAGCCTACGTTATCACGGTAGCCTACATCGCGCCGCCGATTCAATTACAAGCCCCTTTTAATTAATGCAAAAATGTATTGCATTTATTTTATGTATATTTTTTGTCTTTGGTTGAGAGGCGGGTGGCACTTATAAAAAGGTGGCGCAATCACTTAATATTTTTGAAAATATTTTATCACTCACCCTGACCTTTACCATGGCGAACGGTGCGAAATTCTGGATCCCCCAACCCCCACCCCACCACCACTGCTGCAAATAACAGTTTAATAACTGGCCTACACAAACAGTCAATAACGCGTTTTAATTAGTCCGAAGTAGATTGGGTCCACTCTTGAATTGGGTCCACTATTAAATTGTCCCACACTGTTTGAAAGTCCTGTCTACTTCATTTACTAACACGTACCGTATATGTTGCTATGCCTGTTCAAAATGTAGGCCTAACGTAGAATAAAAAAAAACATCGTGCCATTCAACCTCTGTTTTTCATTGGGGTTGTTAGATTTTAAGATCATGGCCATGGTGATTTTACGTCTACAATGGATGAATTGATTGCTCCCTCGTGCGTGAAATCTCACTCATATACAGTATTTCAGTTACACGTCCTCTTCAGCTTCGGATATTTTCAAGATTTAATCTCTATCAAAGCTTGGAATTATATTTTGTTGGAGTGACATCAATTAGTTGCAATAGTCAGTTTTTCTGCTTTTCCAACGAGTATTGTACAACAATAATATCGCCATCGATACCACACATCAGTGCCCACAAGTGGAACTGCACGGGCCAATGCTTACAAATACGAAGACTTGTGTCAAAAGCAAGTGGGTTTGGATATTCCAACACTACAAACAGTCCGACGGTTGTTGATGCAGACAACCGAATAAAGCGATCGTCAAAAGATACATGTCTAGGCCTATAGGCCATTTGTACTTGAGGAAATAGCCAGACGTAAGTATGACTACACACACAGAGCAAGGTAGCATTCTTGACATGAAAATTTCAATCGTAAGTGATGACGGTTCAAAAATTGTAGACGGTATCAATATTCATACTGGAACTAATAAACAACCCATCTCTCCGAGTGACCAAGAGGTCAGACGTGATGGTGTGCCGTCTACAGGCCCAAACGAGGATACGCCTTCCAGTACGGTAACTAGTAAGTACGAATTTTAATGTGAATATTGTTTAACTGTTCTCAAATGTAGGATCAGGAAGTAGAAATCATGTTTTAGAATTATTAATGTTTAGCTTGTTTCTCCTTTCCTAAGTCTTACTGAAACACCCTTATTTAAGCTTAGGCCCGACACCTAATGGACGTTTTTGAATATAATGTGTGATTTATGTGATTTATTTATTGATTGACTGAATAATGGATAATTGTAGGTGATATTAATGGTAGTAATGAAACTGGTGAAGAATTCATCCATCCAAGTGACCAAGTGGTCAGACGTCGGGGTGTGCTGTCGACAGGTCCGAAAGAGGATAGGCCTCGTAGTACGGTAACATTTGAAGGTACGATGATAACTTTCTAGAATTTAATATCAGTTCTAGGCATATTGTTTTTTTATTACAGTATTATTATTTTTAGCTTGCTTTCCGTCCTTAACACTTTTATCGTAAGTCTTAGCTCCAATTATGCCTAACACTCGGCATTTAGACATACAGTATATACCTAATGGAAGTTTGGAATAGCTGATTGATTGATTGATTGATTGAAAATTGTAGGTGACATTAATGGTAGTACTGAAAATGGCGATGAATCCGTTCCTCCAAGTGACCAAGTCGTAATGAGACATCGTGGCGTGTTGTCGAAAGGTCCGAAAGAGGACAGGCCCTGCAGTACGGTGACTTTTGAGAGTAAGATTTTGTTAGTGTTTAAACGTTTCAACGAGTCTGACCTATAGGTTAGAGGCCTATTAGAAAATTAATTAGATTTGTCCTCTCCTAATTTAAGTCTTAATTCAAAACACTCCTAGCACCCTAATATTATATTCAGGTCCAGAGCAACTGGATGTTTCGAATAACTGATTGTATAAACATTTTTGATTGAAAAATTTATTGATTTGTGTTGGACGATATTTAAAAATGATATGCCGTGTAATTTGTTAAGGCCTAACCGTCAAGTTGTCAAATCAATTTTAAGCACATACGGTACTCATACCGCCCTCAACATCAATTTAAGGTTATTGATAATGTGAAGTGGAGGTAACCTATTTGTAACGTTGACAATATTTTTGTTTTTATAAACCTTTATTTGTCATGAAATAATATTGTTTGTCAAATACTTAGTGTTGATTGAATGCATGCCGTTTGTGTATGGAAAACGCAACGAATGTAAGAGATTGACGAGTAGGTAGGGCATTCAATTATAAAGTAATTTTAGTTAAGCTGTATAAAATAGCGTATATTTACACTGTGATTTTCATTTCACCATGCATTACCCAGTAGACTATAGCCATAGGCCTGGTCCAGTCATAGCCTAGATATAGTTACGTGACACTCGACATAAAATATCACAAATCTAGTGTTAGCTTTGAGAAATAATTGAAAACGCGCGAATGGGAATCTGTGTTGATACTCGATAAAGGCGTAGAAGTGGTGACACGTAGCACACTTTTGTAAAAAGGTCGAATGGATCTATTGTAGACGGTACTCTTCAGAACGAGTTTGAATCGTTTTTTCAAATAAAGCGAAACGCAAATATCATTGTGTCTGTCTGATGAGCTGGAGGTGTATAACCTATATACTAAAGTATGCCTGCAGATACAGATCGGTTATACACATTAGATCGGCGTTGATTAGGACCGAGTGTAAGCCTACTCCCCGTCCAGGGTTCAGTTGGTAGAAGCAAGTCTTATTAGATTTTTAAATAATTGTGCAAAATACTGTAGCTATTACCGGTACAATTTGACATAATATTAATATTGTCGTGACTGATCGAAATATTGGAGATGTGAGGTGGGATTGGTGCCAAGTACTACGAGGTGCCGAGATGTTGGTGACTTTTGGAAGTGTTCTTTCATCGACTGGGAATAAGGTATCCAGAGGCCCTTCGTGGGGGTAAAAAAAAACGACAAGAGAACGTTGCTCGTTCCCGACGTAAGCCTACTATTTTTAGAAAACGATGAAAAACTCATCAGAGTTTGCTGAAGTCTGAAATGAGTCATAGAAAAGCCTGCCACTCGTTCACACTTAAACATTTTCAATTACACATATTCTAGCAGTAAAGAAGTAGGCCCCTTATAACTATTTTCCAGTAATACCAAGAAAGATATAAATCGAATTACTGTACTTGAATTTTTGTGCAATTATCGCTCCTATAAAATTACGGTATTTAGGTCTATGCAATTATCTCTATTGTAAAAGTGTTTGTCCTAAAGGCTTCGTCTTGTTGAAATTGACCTACAAAAAGTTGAACATGAATTGAATATCCAACCAATTATGAATTAAACAACAGATAAGAGTATCTGTGATTAAACTATAAAATGTACATTTTTAAAATAATTATGTGTTGGCAAGATGAACGTTTTGTCGTTGTGTCATATTAAATGCAGCGGTGGCGCCAGAAATTTGCCGACAAGGGGTCCGACGTGTCCGACCGTCGGAGGGGTCCAAACCAAGGCGATGACGAAGCGTCGGTCGACGGCCCGGAATAAAAAAAAATCCCTGTTAGGGTTCATGGGGAGAGTTTTTATGGCTTAATTTGGCCCTAAATGTGCTTTTAGACCACAATATTAGGGAGTGGCAATGAAAATAGCGTTATTTTAATAGGCAAATTATTTTTTTTAAATTTTTAGTCCGACGACCTAGTCGTTCTTCGGACGGCACGCCGGGTCCAGGCCTGTCCGACGGGTGGAAAAATGCCCACACTGCCCCCCCCCCCTCCTCTGGCTCCACCACTGATTAATTGATCATTCAGGCTCTTATATTATAAGTGTTCAGACATAGAATCACAATACTCTATATTATTATTATGGCTTGCCACTTGTGAGGGACTACACATAAATGGGCGTGCACTCCCCTACTCTTCTTAGGCTCCCACACCCAGCGCAACGGCGAATCAGTCCCCTCAAGAGATAAAATCACATCATTCACCCAGCAAGGGTCCCCTCACATTCCTTCCATCACCTATCATCTCCTCCTCATAGAGGGACCCTCCCCTAGATTGGCCACGAAGAGGAGGAGGGCTGGGCAAATGCTTAACGTGTTAATTTTTAAACTACTGTACAGTACTGTACTGTTGAGGGAGTAGCCGAAGGTCAAGTTTCTAATCCAATCAGATCAGATCCAACCACCAAGAGGAAGATAGTAACACCTTATAGACATACACATTAGGACGTACAGATTCAGCCATCGCAACAGGGAAACATTATTGGAATATCTTCAGATCGTATGTCTACAAATCAATTTCCAACCCGGTCTTGATTGGATGTTGTAGTGAGATCCCAGTGGGGAACTTTCTTGACTCATGTACTAAATTCGTAACCTGTTATAACTAAAAATTGTGGCTGTTCCTATGCCGTACCAGACTTTGGTTATGCGAACAAAAGATTGAAGAAGAAAAGTGTATCACCTCATATTTTGTTCATTATTTTTGCGGCGATTAATCTGATTCAGTATGGCAGAAATACGGAAAACGCCAAGCGTTAGATGTGAGTAAATTTTAAGTGCATTTATGTCAATTATTTGAGTCTAGTCTAGATAAAATTGTCAGCGTGGCAAAAGTTGTGACTATGGCTTCCAGTTTTACATTCTAAGAAACTTTACGGTATACTGTAGGCCTATTTCCCTTCGAGAGTGGAAAATGACTGAATTACCGGACATAAGCCAATAACAGATATAAACAGAGGCCAACAGGCTGAGCCATGGTCGTCAAAGTACAATACAGTAAGGTTCTCAAGCCACCTAAAGTAGAGAGGGAAACACAATCAGAAAATTTAAATATTTCCGGGGGAAGGGACACTTTCAGACAAATGGTCAAGTTAAGGGAACATTATTTAAAATAACCACAGCCGTCTCAAAATAATACTAATAGTTTATTTGTAATGTTCTTGTATACCGAAGAAAATAAAACACAGGAAACTGGCATAAAGCAGCAGGAAACTGGAACTCACTGGTTATTTTTTAACTTTACTGAGTATATAGAATTGTAGCCTAATTTTAGAATTTTTCAAGTGATACATTTCTTGCGTTATTATCTTTGGTATTTCCAATGTTTAGGCCTTATATCTCCTTGGTTTAGTTAGGGAGTTGTTAATAACAACTCCCTGGTTTAGGTATATCATTGTTCAATCGGGTTTTTGTTCAGACGTCGTGTGGTATACTACAATACAGTGTTATGCAATTTATCAAGAGCGGAATTGAATGAAATCAATGAGACGGGTTTACAGTAGGCATTACATTCTATTCTTTACATTAACCTGCATGTTATTATCATGATCTGTGGGTAGGCCTATTATATGGTTGGTTGACGATATATAAAACCACCTGAGGCCAATAGCTTGGTTTATCATTCAAAGATGTCATTGTTACTTAAAGTGCACGACTGACTATTGGCACGTCGTACTTACCCACAGGGTATTAAATGACATTAACAGTAGTCCTTCGTTTTAATTCTCTATTAAAATTTCGTAATTCCGTGTCATACATTCTATTGAAGATACTTCAACGCTAATAATAATAATAATAATGAATAATTGTTAAAACTTTAGGTTATGCTTTGTATTATAATACTATAATACAATTATACTTTAATTTTCCAATAGAAAATTTGTATTTCAAACTTGTTTGAACTTTTTGAATTTATTGCATCCTTGGGACGATTAACAACCTGTTTCATCTGTGAAATTTGAAATTTCGCATTAATATGTAGGCCTACTAGATATTAGGTTGGGGTGTTAGCCTACCTGAAATTTTGTAGACCTACCTGTGATTCCAGATGGTTGGCCTATAGTATTTACTATGGCTGGTGGGAGGGATACATTTCAGTTTATTATTTTATAATAATTTCACATGTAATAACGCTTTACATGCAAGCTAAACCAATGGAATCGCAATATTAACATTTTCATAAGTTTACAAACAGTACTTTTTTTCGGTTCCCTCCCTCCCTCTGAAAGTGTACAAAAACATGTTGATTTTGCAAAACCATTCTCCATTTTTTGTGAAGTCAACTAAAGCATTGGTTGCTTAAAAATGAATATTATATCCATGGTTACATTATAATTTTACCATTATGTTACATATTGCATGTTATTATGAATCAAAATTTTTATGCATGTGTAAGAGTTTCTCAAATTTCTCAACCCCCTCCACCCAGTTGGTACACCTGTGAAAATGTTGATAATGTTGAACGACCCCTTAACATGCATTTGGAAGCCTAGGACAAAATTCTGAGTTTTGTGCAGTTTACACTACCCTTTGGTATTTATGTATCTCTGACCATTCCTCCATGCTCTGACTAACAATAACCCAACTGAACAATATACCACCAAGGACAATATTCACGTGATTCATACAAGAGAGGTACATAACATTTTTCCAAACCCAAAATTACGGAACATTTAAGGGATACCCTTCAACTTTTGTTACATTTTTATTAATGAGCTTCAAAGGGTAAGATTTCAAATAGTGCTGCAGTCTATCACTAAAGGTTATCCCTTGTGTTCAAGACACAACCTCCTGTTAAATCCATGTACTTTCGCAATAACAAACGTCGTGGATTGATATTGTAGGGGCCTATTGTTGTAGGATGTTATTATTAAGTTACCACAATGCATTTAACACATTTCTACCTGGTTTTATGCCGTAATATCTTAGGCCGACGCGATTCTTGGGAAGTCAAAGCAAAGAGGCAC